TAGAGGTTTCACCGCTTCCTCCACCCAAGATTCCCAGGCCTACACCTTCCTCTCCCAACAAGCGGTTTCAGGCTGTCGGAGGGTGGGACACTTACAGGAGGGAAGGTGCCTGCAGGCCCTGTGGAAGCCGCCACCTCTGGCACGGCCTACACAGAGGAGCCCCACTGGGTGCGGGCCCAGCCTGCGTGTGACTGACCCCACGCCATGCCAGGGAGAGCAGCGCAAAGGGTGACCAGGACCTCAAGGACCAGGATCCTGTTTCAGCTTTTATGTTCTAAACAACTTTAACAGGCATCCCTAACTCTGTACTATGAAGAAGGAAGGGTGGAGGAACCCCAGCTGCAAAATGGAGCTGTGAAGGAGAAAAAAAATGACCAAATCATGAAGTATTCCTCTTCTTACCAAGAGCCCACCTTGCCCAAGGGTCCACAGGCAGCCTGGTGATCAAGCTGGGCCATGCAGCAACCCAGCTGGAGACAGGACCAGAGGCAGGCTGAGGTACAGCACAGCTTGGGTGGGAACAGGGCCTCAGGGCTGAGCTTAAATGGCGACCTGGGCTGTGGGCAGTGAGGGCCCAGGCAGGGCTGGTCAGGGCCCGTTAGTGCCCTTCAGCCTGGCAGGCCTGTTGTCTGGTGCCACATAGACCATGTAGGCCCAAAAATTAATAAAAGGAATAAAAGTTGCTTGAGGAAAGCAGCTGTAGGGTACGTTCAGCTCTAGGGCTTATATGTGGTGAAGAATCTCATAAACAAAGGCATGCTGTGCCGATGAGACTGCCCGTGCGATCCTGCATGGATTGGCTTTACAGGGGCAAAAACGATACAGAGGAAACACAAGTGTTCAAAGATACTGAAAAAAAGTAGTAAAAGAAACTGGAGGATCCAGCATGCTTGAAGTAAGAGGTTTTTGTGATTTGATTCAATGGCAAAATTCCTCACAGGCTGAAGGGAGAGGCCTTTGGAAACTAGTTATTGGAGAGCATGTTTCCAAAAAATGGTTTTCTCTGTTACTTTTCTCTTCTAAAAAAACAAACACACAAACAAAAACAACACCAACAAAAAACCCTCTGGACATTTTTAGAACTGTTCTGAACTGAATCTTTGTTCTGTAAAATTGTTTTTCTACTGATGTTATACATTACTTCATTTTTCAGTTTTGCTAAACAAGAAAGTCTAATTAAAGTCTAATTAGCCCATTAAAATACTATTTTTTAGTATTTTATTATATTGACAGATATATATTTTATTTTATTATATTGACAGATCCAAATGAGGAAATCAAGGAAATGTAATCAAAAAGCTCCCAATTTCACCAGAATTCAACAGCTGAATTCAAATACGTTGAATTTAGATAGTTTGAATAGATTCAAGGACACAGACATACTTTTGAGTTCTCCGGTTTTAATCTGTTACTGTTATAAGACAAGGTAGCAAAAAGCTCTTGGGATCTGGATGTTAATTATAAAAGATCTGAGCAGTCCAAGTCATATAGTCTTTTAATGCTACTGTTTTAGTGGTAAACTGTGGTTTGGAGAGTTTCACAATTTGGGTCCATCCACAAGAACAGCAGTGGTTTAAAATTAGTGTTTTGAACAACTGATTACTATGTATTTAGTCTCATGTTAGTGCTCTGTTACAGGTTAAATAGCAGAAGAAATGGATTCACTCAGGACAATTCTAACATTGCTGTATATGGAAAGCACTCCTGGGCAGATAAACTATTTCTAATAGTTTGTAGTGAACAGCAGCAGCTCTAACTTCTTAATTTGCTCCAGCCAGATTCACAAAAAACATATCTGTCCAAGGGTTTGATTATTAAGTTTTGACAAAATAGGGTAGGATATTACTTCAGCTAACGTAGTTACATCTTCTCTATGTAACCTCGTATACAGAAGCAAGGCATCTTCAAATAAAAAAGCAGAAAGCAAGCAGTAGCTTCTTTAAGACTGATATTCAGGGCCTAATGCAGTAGCATTTTATATCAAATGTGCTAGCAGGCCCACAAAAGGCACACAATCTCATTCATGCACTTTACAGTGTCCATTTAACTTTCTTTTTCTGTGGCCTACTTTTTGTTATAAAGTCAAAAAATACTCTCTGGACAACCAGAAAAGGAAATGAGAGGTATCGTCAAACACTTGTGGCTGCAGCAGTGGACAGTAATTTTGCAAGTATCTTTGCAGATGAAAAATACTCACCTCTAAGCTGCCAATTTGGTTACTTC